ATCAAAATTAAAATATCAATACATCAATACAGTGGTCAAAAATTTTAATCAAAGAAAAGGAGAAATTGAAGTTTCTTTTATTTATCTTAGGTAACAGTGCTCCTTTCATTGGTATGAGAGGCGAGAGGAGTGAATTTTTGGTACTTACTGACACTGTCTCTGCTGATAATTTGATAAAAACATCAAAATCTGTGTTAGCAGGCACTACAAAAAGTTCATCACCTCAATTTACAAAGTCACAAAGACAGTTAACCAGCTGGTGGGCAACATCATTACCTATTTCTTAGTCCCATAAGTGATTCGAGCACTCCCTGTAGTTAATCTGTGACACTGTACGTTACTCTGAATTAAGACTGAAATCACAGAAGGCTGAAGTTAGAGGACAACCTGTTTCTGTGAATTTTCACCGTCTGGTTACCATCACTATAGCTAAACCCATGAGAGCCAGACAGCTGACACTAGTTTTATCCCCGTCGTTTCTACAGTATAACACAGGACAAACACAGCCCTGAGTATGCGGCAGCTGTCGATGACTCAACAGGGGTTGAACAAATGAAAAGGAACATCTAGTGGAGATCAATGCCAATGTCAGTGAGCTAGCCTAACTAGTGTCCGATTTCCAAGTGGAATACAAACTTCACAGCACAATGGATCCTGCCAATTTTCAATGTTGAAGGGGACAGGCGTCTTTAGTTGTAGTATGGTACATAACAAACAGTGTGTGGATTTGTTAAAAAAAGGGGGGAAACTGCCTCATTCAGTTGTACACTTCTAGCAGCGTCACCGTCATGCGATGTCAGTCAGCCGCTGCCAATAGGCATGAAGCTCGAACACTGTTTCCACACGTCCCAAATCCCTATAGTACCCTTATAGTTTACATCTACATACAAAGAGAAAGAAAAAACCAAAACGTGTAGTTATGTTTTAAACCCAATTCTCAATCTTAATACTTACCTAAATTATAAAATGATAAATAATTCTTATTAATCTAAGTATAATGTATAAACTTATACTTTACTCTTTGAACGGTGAGGATGAGCCTGAATGACCCACTTAACTTCATTATTCTAATGCTACAAATTGTTTCTCACAAGTATTGAAGCAGAAGAGCTCACACACACACACACACACAAAACACACAAACACAGATACAAATACGCCGACTTTTCCATAACCTCCACAACTCTTTTGCCTTGACTTGAGATGTCTCCATGTCTCTCAATTATTATTCACTTTTCGAACAAAACAAGCCTTTAACAGTTTTACCCCGTGGCTACTGATCAAACATTCCACAATACAGAATCATTATGCATATATCAGCTGCAACAACCGCACAGGAGAAGAGAAAACCGGATCTGCAAGTGGAGGCAGCTCGGCTGAGTGTCGATTCAGCTGACCCCAAATAACCCCCTTCCTTTTGTACACACCGTTTCTCTCACTGTCTTTCTCTGCACCCTCCCCTCCTCTACTTCCTCCATTCAGAGCCGCCTGAATATAGGTCAGCATTCTCTAAAATCCTCACCCTGCTGAAAGTTTGATAAGTACACTCCAGGTGGTAGTGGGTGAATATTAAATTTGTAATTGGGAGTCCCAAGTATCCACCATTGGAATATTCTGATTATTAAAGAGGATCAGCCATCACTCAATGTGTGCCTTTAATATGGACCCTCCCTCCTTCATTGTGTTTAAATGGTCAGTTCCTCCAAATGATATAAAAGCACATCTAGTGGTGTCTAGCCATGCGGATAGTTTTGGCTTTACTCACCCAAATTTGTATATATCTCTTCGTTTCTCTGTCTTCATCCCAGGGCAATGGAGGTGAATGAAATGTTGTTTGTGGTACCGTGAAAACATAACTTTTAAAAGACATCATGTTCATCATGTTTCCAAAAACAATATTCCCCCTTCCCTGGATATTCCATTGTGAACAGTTTTCACTGAAATGTATTTTTACCAGAAGAACACAGACATGTGACAAATTAAAGGGAAAACCCTGCATATAAAATGAGTGGAAAAACATCACGATGCCTGCAGATGGCTCCATACAAGACACGAGGTGTCACTGAACAGTTTAACGAGTATAAATATGATGCGAATCACATGCCCTAGCCTTCACAGTGACCACGTCTCAGCCCAACTGAAAACGAGACTGTCCTCCCAAGAAGAAGAGACAACATCAGTCATTTTCAGCGAGTGGCCCAAACTGACATATGTTTGCGTTCATGTGACAAAGCCCTCTAGAATGTGTAGGAATGATGCCAGGAGAAAAGGAAGAACTATTATAAAGTGACAAAGTCTGTGTAGGAGGGAGGTCAGAGTGGATGGATGGGTCAACACAACATTAGCCTTTAACACAGGGGAGTACTGTTCATTTCCTGTTTCAAACCTTAAGTCAACGATAGTGTCTTTTATTCATCAATGGAATCATCCCCGAACCCTAACCACGTGTTTGCTATATTCAGCATGATGACGAAGGTCCTCTAAACTTACTGCAGGACAT